TCGACAGCAACTCAATTTCCTAAAATGCGAGGTGAAAGCGAGACCTGCCGTTCCAGGCCTGACAGGGGGAGCAGAAGAAAAAACGTGAACAAGATGAAAAGTTTGGTATTCTGTGCAAACGCAAGAACAAAAAAAAGAGTAATAAATAAAGATCAAAATGTGTGAGATAAACTGACACCATGCCGTGATGGACCCATAAAGAACTGATGGGAAATGAGTGCAGCCTCACTTTCGAGGTATTTGTTAAATCGGCTGTTTTGCGTCATTTCCACTAGAGGGCGGTTCAGAGTTAACATCAGAAATCAGGTGGAAAGTTCATGGCGATGGTGGGGACAAATCTTCACAGCGCACATTCTCACTTCAGGACATAAAAAAAGAGGCAGTGCAGACAACGGGGTGATTTGTAAACCCATCGCAACTACATGAGGGATTGCTGCATTTGGACACATCTGCAGTCTCCCTGCAGATGTGTCCAAACACTAAGAAACACTGATGAAACACTAAGTGACGTGCAAAGAGATCTCATTTGTGACTCCCAGAGCATCGTTACTTTGTCGAGTGTCGAGTTCGTTGCTTCGCTGGTTCTTCCGCTCAAACGTCTCCACCACTGCTGGTGGGTGTTTACGGTGTCGTGTTTTATTTATCAGGAAAGATTTCTTTTCAGGAGAAGAATTTTGGTTTACAGTTGTCATGATCGATTTCAACTACTTACAGTGAAATAAAAAACAAAATAAAACACGGTGTAAAGGGTTATAAAGTCAGATACCACCTTTCTTCATCCGTAGAGAGTTTTTTTTTTCCGTCTGGTGGACGGAAAAAAGCTATTGTTGGGGAATAAATAGAAATGATCGCAGTTGTCGTTGCGGAGAATGAAAGAAAAATAGAACGAGGGACAAATAAAGAGGTTGACATTTTTTGCACCATTGTCCCACCCACCCCCCCTCCTCAAAGTGATGAAACACAGAAGAGAAATTGTCTATAGCGAGCATAGCGTGTCGCTGAGCTGTCAGGGCCTTGGTAAGCCAGACAAAAGGTGTGTGTGGTTGTGTGTAGGTGTCAAGGCCAGCAGCACACACTCTGTCTAACGAATGTCTTCACCTCAGTGTCTCATGTTGAGGTGAAGCTGCGTCTTTCTCGCCATAAGTCCCACTTGTGTTATCCTGCCACTGGAGGACCGGAGGCAGGGTGAGGATGGCATGAAGACAACTTACTGCCGGGTCCGTGGATGAACCATTACATACTATTATTATTATTATTAGAGGAGACTAGTTTTCCTTAGTTTTGATGTTTTTGTCGTTCGGATTTCTTTTCAGTGCTATACATAAAGATGATTTCTCCCCTTAAAGCGTTTAGTTTTGCTTCCTTGTGTGTTTCATAAGCTTCCTTAGGGTCCTCTTTCTCTTTCCTGTCTAATCTTCCATCCCTTCTGACTTTCTTTCTGTTTTATTCCAAGTGACGTTGTACTCTTATTTGTGTTTGGAGTCAACTGGTTAGTCACCTTTGCACTGATCTCTGTTTACAATGCTGTACATTCTTTTCTGTAATAGAGCAATATGGCATTTAATTTGTGAAAACTTGATTTTGCCTCCTGTTTGCTTCCTTTATATGGTTCATCACTGAGTACCCTATACGCTGTTTTGTCTGGTTTACATAGAAGACAGCAGCATTTTATTTACATGCTTGTCCAATGAAACTTTGGCGCTATTCTCCGGATCAAAACAGCGTCTTGCTTAAAAAACATGTTTATAAATTCGTAGTTACGTTGCATTCATCTCTTAATAAAAGTTCATAGTTGCTCCCCACTCAGTCGGAGCATAGGCTTCTTTGCATAGAACTGACAACTGGCTCTACTTAAACAAAGCTAGAAGATAAACTCATAAACCATTTGATGCTGTAATTGCGACCAGACCAGGTTCTATTGCACTGCGTGTGAAGATGCATGAACATATGTGCAACACACACATTTTTTTGTTTTTATTCAAAAGACATGCTCAAAATCCATTTATTTTCCTTAAATTTTAGTTATACACAAAGTCTTACAGCGAGCGCTTTTCTGGTCATACCGACTAGTCAAAAGCATTTTCACTAAGGAACCACTTTCACCCAGATGCATTTTTAAATGTGTGTGCTTTTAAAATGTTGGGTCCCAACAGACTGGTGCTATGTGAACACACACACTGCGAAACCCAAATATTTTTGATCTAGTTTTGATCTAGTTTCAACTGCAAGTATGTCAGTACACGACATAAAACAAAATGCAAGGCTTTTTAAGTGAATAAATTCTTAATATTGATTTTGAAAAGCACTGTTTCCATTGGCGGATCACTTCACTATTTTTCCCACTTTGTGAGTAAAATAATCTGCCAGTGGTAGTGGCACCTTTTCATCAGTATTAAGGAATTATGGACTAAAAAAAGCTTCTATGTCTGACTTTTGCGTTAATTCAAATGTACTAACACATTTGCACTTGAAAGTAGACCAAAAAAATATATATTTTTTTTAATTTTTCCCAATTTTTAATTTTTTTTTTCCCCAAAAGTTTTTGGTTGCAAATAAAGAGAGTGGGCCATTTTTCACCACAGTTGCCCCAAAATCATAATAAAACACAGTAAAACACGCTGAAGCTAACGGTGATGTTAGCCGCAGGCCTATTCAAACTTCTTCTTTGACATCTCTGCCACTAAACCTCCACCTATTTTTGTCTTGACTTAAGAAATTGATTGCAAAGTTCATAGAAAATGATAAACAAATGGGATGACTTTCACTGCACGTGTTGAAAATGCACACCGATTCGTCACCCAGCAATGGCGGCGTTGTAGCGTTCCTGTGCGCAGCGCGCGCTTTTATTTCTGCGTCCTCCTCAGACTTACAGCATATTCCCCCCCAATTCCCCGACACCCTCTTGTTATCTATCATTTCTAATCGGCGCCTCCTCTTCGGTGACTTACAGCTCATCAGAAAGCCTCTCCGACCTCAAGGCTCCTCCGCAATAAGCGAAAACATGTCATTACGGGGACGCCGCGTCTCTCGCTTTCCCTGTTCGCTACTTCTGCTGATGTGTCTGCGGAAGAGCTTCGGTGTCTCCGGACCGATGCGGCACTTCTCCGCGCCGAGTGATAATGAGAGGAATTTTACACAATGGACCCACTTTTCTCGCTGGAGTCAGTGGGGAGAAATAGCGCGAAGGGCGAGAACAGGGAGAAAACAGGATGTTGGTTGAAAAGAGGGGGCTAATACGTGGAGGGTGGGGGGAATAGTAGAGAGAGTGACTACAAGAGCAAGAAAGAGTGATTGCCTGTTGACTGAATGAGAAAGAATGCATCATTTAATAATTGTAAATCCCAGAAAGATGGGGTGTAATCGGACTTTCTTCCCTCCCACTGCCGCGTCGGGTAATTCATCCCTTCCTCTCTCCATCTATCTCTTTCTGTCTCACTCTTTCACTCTGTCACCCATCAATCTTTTTCCAATTACCTGCTCTGTCTATCCACAAATCCATCATAATAATTTCCATGGAAACGGGTTGCATCCTCCACTGGCTTTGGCCTATTGTTAAATATAATTGCACACCAAACAGCAGTCTTTAGGAAGAGGTAATAAAAAAAATACAGGGGGCTGAGTGGGGCAGCAGAGATTTGGATATTGTCCCGGCAACTAATGTCTCTCCCGCATCTCCAAAGAGTCAACTTCAAGGATGATTCAGAGCTTAATTTTAAACCGTGGCGTTCATTCATCAGCCGCTTTATTGGCCATTATGTGCGGATTGGCTTCATCCTGGGCTGATGAAGCATCTTCGTAGCCCTTGAGGATGTCAATTATTTTTGCAAATGGAAGATGACAACGGCTAATCCAAGCTCACCAAAGCATAAGAACTCTTTGTATTTTTCATTTTTTTGGTATTTTTCTGGGAACACATTTGGAGCCGAGACAGCAGAAAAACTCTATTAGGATGGGTTTTTCTTTCCGTTCGCAACTTGAACTCTTCCCAAATCTGTGATGAGACACTTTTGTAGAACCTTTCGCGTTAAACCCGCACTGGTGTTCTGATTTTTGGAGAGGGGATCCTGTGTGTTTGATCGGATTTTACGGGAAATGGACTGAATAAAACAAAAAAAGCGCTTTTCCAATCATTTTTGACCACTCAAAGCACTTTACACGAGAGTCACACACACATTTATACACAGATACACAGATTGGTAGGCAAGGTGGGATTAAGTGCCTTTCCCAGGAGGAAGCTGATGTCGAACGTCCAACCTTCCGTAGAGTAGAGTAACTACTCTACTCCGTGTGTAGTTAGATGTGTTTACCATCCCCCAAAGAGACGGTAAACACAAGTCTCGGTTGTGTACGTGATTTCTTTTTCAGCCTCATTCACTCTGACGCACTAAATGAAATCCAGTGGAACCAATTGCCCTCAGTTATCTCATTTGTAAATATAGATAATACTTCTATTTCATGTATCTTGTTGGATGTAAAGGTTTAGTGTGTGGAGATAAAAAGGGAAAAGCAATTTTTTGGGAGCTGTTATTGTCGGGGAAAAAAAACCCTACAACAAAACAAGTAGAACTTGATTTTATAGTCTAATTTTAACGATGGAGTTACAAAAACAGCAGCTGTTCATAATGGTTTTAATGACCTGCACTGTGTCTCTTCTCTGAATAATTTTTCTTCTGATGAGCCATTTTTCAAAGCATTTTCGTGTGTTCAGCCTGATGAAAGTGATGAAAATTTCAAATCTCATTCATAAACCCCCGTAGTGTGGTGGGTCTGGAACCCGGAACTGTCATGGAGATATGACGTCACGTGTGGGCTGTGGCATGTGACATCATGGCGACATGACATCAACACGCCAGGTCGCCATGACGTGAGACGTCATGGCGACCTGGCATGTTGTCTAGAATAAGTCACATGACTGGAACATGTGACTGATCTAGAACACAACACAGGTCACAAGTTCTAGACCAGTCACATATCTACACATGTGTTGTGACATGTTACAGTCATAGTTGTAACATGTTCTAGAAGCCCACTTTAGAATAGGTCACTTTCCCAGTGAACCGCGCGAGAGAACATTTGCACCAAGCGAGAACTTGCCGAACTCAAGACGATGGAAGACACTGGCGCTCGCCAATCTTTTAACATCTTCCAACAGTGGAACCGGATGCTGACCCAGGAGAACGAGACCTTGAAGCAGAAAATTCAGGAACTGAAGGACAAGCTTCAGCAAGCCGAAGCCAAGAACACGAAAGGTTCAGCCTGTTGCCACATCATGCAGGAGCACCAACAGGAGCTGAGCAGCCTGAAGAAGAAACAGGAGGACGTCGTTTCCCGCCTCGACGCCAGCCACAAGTTCGAGCTGCAGCTGGCTGAGCTGAAGCTGGAGCAGGTCCAGAAAGAACTCCAGGAGGAAAGAAACCTCAGCCGGCAAGGCGAGAATGAGAAACGGGAAGCTGTGGAAAACGCACGGGTGCTTCAGGACAAACTGGAACGTTTGGAGAAGATGTCCGCAGCGGATCGGGAAGCGCCCGAAGTCGCGGAGCTGCGGGAAATGCTTGGAAAAGAAAGAGAGCTAAGAGCCCAAGCGGAAACTGAAAGCAACAAGCATGTTCAGGCTTTGAGGGTTCTGTCCGAAGAGAAGGACCGAGAAATCACAAGAGAGCGAGACCTCAGAGCCCGAGTGGAGGAAGACATACTGGAGGCTGTGGAAATCGCAGAGATTGCCCTCCAGAAGCTGGAGGGCCGAGAGGAAGATTGGGAGAAAGTCAAAGGCGGCATCCAGCAGCTGGAAGACATGCTGCAAGAAGAGAGAAAGCTGCGGCACCAGGCTGAAGCCGAGATCAACGATCACGTCAAGTCCATCGCCGTCTTCTGCCAGGAAATCAACCAGGAAATCAACAGAGTGCGAGACACGCTGGCCCACACAAAGGCAGGGAAGAAGGAGGCTGTGGAGATCGCTGAGATCCTCCTCAAGAAGCTGGAAGAAATCGAGAACTCGCCCGAGGCGCGTCCGCTCGCGATCAAGGCGGACGGTTGCGAGAGCCCCAAATCTGACGTCCAGCTCCAGGAGGCCAAGCGACTCATGGTCCAGGCAGAGATGGAAAAAATCGGGCAGTTCCAAGCGTTGTTCGAAGAGATGGACCAGAAACTGAAGAAGGAGCAAGAACTTCGAGCTCAAACGGAGGCAGACCGGCAAGAGGCTATAGAAATCGCAGATGTTCTCCTCCAGAAACTGGAAGAGATTGAGAAAATATCAAAGGAGCTCTAAACTCAGCTATTCTAATAAATTTGTTTGTTTTTTTTTGTGTGTGGAAATGTTAACGTGTTGTCGGAAGTTTATTGGCACCTCTGTCATTTGTCTTATTATTCAAAAAGCTGAAAGACACATGAAACAAAAAAATAAACAAACAAACAAGCAAACACATAAATAAATAAATAAAAAGAAAACAACCAAAAAAACAAGCAAGCACTTTAAATGTTTTCGACATGTTATTGAACACTCTTGTTGGTGTTCTTTTGTTTGTTTGTTTTGTTTTTATTGTGACTTGCTGTTTCAGTCATTGTTCCTTTGGAAAATAAAGAATGAAAACTGAAACCAAAAGCATAATCAACAAGAAAAACCTAAGCAAAAACTAAAAGAAAACAGCAATACTGCAAAACATGCTGACTTTTTGTGTGTTCCTTGCAGCTTCTTGCTTGCCATCAATATTAATATTGTAGTTGTTTTACTTAATCTTGTTTTCATTTTTATTTTAATCCTTTAAGAGCATTTTGTGTGAAAATACATATTTCATGCTGTTAAATCTGAATCTATTTCCACTTTGTGGGACAGTAAATTGTATTTCTATTGTTTTCTACACCGCTTCCTATCTGAGTGCGTAAAACGCATCAAAAGCAAACGCAAAAGACAAAAAAAGACTTTAGTGCTGAAATTTAATTCGAAACTTTAATAAGCCGAGTTCAGTTTGTTGTTGCTTTTTTTTTTTTGTTCTGTTGTAAGGTTAAAAATAAAAACACAACAGGAAACAAGAAAAGCGCAACTTGTTTACGTCAACTTGTTGCAAACCAGAGAAGTTTGCAACAAGTTGCAAGTTGCTGCAAACTTCAAGTTGGAACACAAATTCTGCATACCTGGCAGCAAGAAAACATTTCAAACGTGAGGTGCAAAATAAAACAATAAAAAAACTTTACACTTAATAGTCTGATACCTTGAGGACAGTTCTAGATCTGTTGATGTTTGCTTGGATTCCTGCATTAAAAACAACAATGACAAAAAGCTGAGATGCCGTATTGTATAGACATAGGTTTTTATGTTGCTTTGAAAACGCGGGGGGAACGTTAAAATTGTTGCACACCGAAGAGAGAGCTTTTCTCTTTCCCCCTTGAGTTGCTCTTGCCGCCCCCTGACAAACGGACGCCCTGAGGGGGGAGCCATTGGTACAGTTGTCACACAGCCAATGCTTTTTACTTTTTTATTTCATTTCAGAATTTGTGTTCCAGTCTCTACTATTCTCACTTTAAATGTGGATTGTCGGGTACCGTTCCTTTCCTGTCGTCTTATCGCGTCGCCGGACCAACAACTTTAGCTCAAGTCATGAAAAGAAAAAGAAAAAAAGATTACTTTGCTTTGGTTCACTAAAATGCAGAGCATTTCTGTAAACCTGCTTGCTTTTTGACATTTGCACCACAAAACTGCATAATTAGATTAAAAGTCCTTAGCATTCAGAGCTAGCCTCAGGTAAATGAGCTGTGGGTTGCAGTCTGATGTCGAGGGTGGGTGTGGGGGCAGCAAAGCTCCAGCCTGGGTATTAGATTAAACCCTCTGTGTCCTGCTGTGGGAAGCAGTCTTAAAACTGCATGCTGCCGCCATTCAAGACAATGCATATTTGCTAAGTTGATGTAATTGATATTTATGGGCCACATAATGGCGCGAATCAAATTCGCAAAACAATAACTTTGTCATTCATGAGGAGAAGCTCGGCCCATTAGTGCTTTTGTTAGTGCCTGAGAACAACCAAAGAGCAGATAAGTGAGAGTTGTTGTTTTTTTGTTTGTTTTCCTTTGCATTTATTTTAATATATAAGACATGGAAAAAAAGATCCAGCAAAAACTCAGATGATTTATTACTGGTTTTGCTTAGATCTGGTTTTAGTGCATTGTGTGATTCTTCTCCACAAAAGCTATTACTGTTAAAAAAACTAAAAAAACAAATCAACCCAACACGGGGAGTGGTGAGGGACATCTGAGTTTACATGGCGCTGATTGGAGTATAAAGAGGTTTGTTATTGTGGTGGTCAGTGTCAAGCATGGTTCTTAACCTCCCTCCAGTCCACAGAGCCCCAGTCTCTCTCTCTTTCTCTCTCTCTCTCTGTCTGCTCAGTGCAATTAAGCCAGAGGCACGAAGGCAGGAGGACAGGAAATCCAGACGTCAGCATTTTAAAATAAAAGATAAAAAGGAATATGTAAATATTCAGAGATATCTGTCTTAAACAGAAATGGGATAATTATGGGAAGCACTGAAGCTGCCGTTTTCTTTTTCTTTTCTTTTTTTCCCCAGAGAAAACGTGTGTTCAAAAATGACGCGTTTCTCTGTGAGACACGTGGTTTCTGCTCAGTGGTGGCAACCGGAGCTGTGGGTGAAATTAGATGCGTACATGTTCAAGTCGAATCTAAACCTTTTAACTCAGCGACACAAGAGGAGCATTTGGCACGAGTTTCTACATGTTTGAACGTTTCTCACGAACGCAAATCCTGTTTCCAGTGAGCTTTGAGCTACGTAGGGCGGCGTGGTAGGTCTCTCGGAAGACCAGAATTGAACCTTTCGACCCAAATGCGAAAAATAAAAATGCAGTAAAAAAAAGTATGTGAGGTGGAAAACCGATTTTAGACCATCCCCACAGGAAAGCACGGTGGAGGCAGTGTCATGCTTTGGGGAGAGTTTTATTTGGCGGGGACAAGTTAGAGTTGATGAACCAGAGCTGGCCCCAGGTAAACCCCCACCACCACCACTAGGGGGCCACCAAGAGCGTCATTTGCTTGTATTTGTAGTGACAGATTTACACTGTCTACAACACTTTCTGTTACGAATGTCAAAAACAAAAGATATTTCACTTTTTCACTTGTTTACTGTTCATCCTGCAATGTCTTTCTGCAGATGTTACTCTCAAGTAGTTAAATGACTACGCCACACTTACAGTAAATGCTACTCTGCATTTCAAAATGCTAATTAATTGGAGCATCTTTGCTACTATTTTCCCACAACATAAGTGAAGTAATCTGCCAGTGGAAATAGCAATGTTTTTAAAAGGAATTATTGACTTAAAACAAGCTCCTGTGTCTTGCTGAAACAATTACTTGGAGGTTGATTTTGCCTTATTTCAAGTGTCATAAGATATCAGCACCAAAATCTGGACTAAAAATACTTAATATGACACTAATAGCAGTTGGTATGACGCAGGCATAGTGTAGCCTAGGAATGATGAAGTATCTAGTTTTGACATGTTACTATGAGGGACCCCAAAACGTAGGGGCCCCTAAAAAAAGCGACCCTAAACCAACTAACCAAACCTAATCTCTCTGTTCTCTGACAGAACTTGGCCTATTTTGCAATGCGTCTAAATCTGCAAAACTTTGCAAACATTTTTTTTTACAACTTATGTTACTTTGCCTTTGCCAATTACATAAAATCTCATTGAAATACTTTAAAGTTTTGTACAGAAGAGGATTAGGGCCACCGAAAAAACAACAAATTCTGACTTTTTTTCAGAATTCTGAGTTTAAAATCAGAATTGTTTTTTTATATATATATATATATATATATATATATATATATATATATATATATATATATATATATATATATATATATATATATATATATATATATATTTATTATCTTTTTGCAGTGACCCTAAACCTCTTTCGTAGTTTTGGGTTGTTCATGTGACAAAATGTACAAAGTTAATCCTAAAACAAACACTTTTTTGTCCAGATGGAAGCGGAATCTTTGTTTTATTTTGAAGGCTGCGCCCGGAAGTCCCTCTGAAAACCCTGCCTGGTCGCACGGTGAGGCTCTCAGTGTGTGTGTGCGCCGTTTGAGAGCGTGTGTTTCGGCTTCCTGCGCGGTGTCCGCTCGCCGTCCGTCTCCGTCAGTGTACATCGGCTCACCATGGCGGAAGGACGCAGAGAGCAGCCGCCTCATCCTCCTCTCTCCTTACCACCAGCCAGCAAGCGACCCTGCCTCCGCCCCGCACCCAGAGGTCCCGGGCCGGGGCCGGGGCACGGCAGCGGGTCGCCCGGCTCCCGGTATCGCTCCCCGGAGTCTCTCCTGGACTGCGCCGCTAAAGCGGTAGCGGAAAAGTGGGCCTTTGAGAGAGTGGAGGAGCGCTTCGAGCGGATCCCGGAGCCCGTCCAGCGCCGTATCGTCTACTGGTCTTTCCCACGCAACGAAAAGGAGATATGCATGTACTCTTCGTTTCAGTGCAGGGCGGCCGGCGAGGAAGGTCCGTCGGCCGCCGCCGCTGGAACCGCGGGGACGGGGTCCGGAGCGACAAGCGCCGGTGGCGGCGCAGGATCTACCGCTGGTGCGGCTGCTGCCGTGGGGCCAGCCGGAGTAGTGGGCACGGGAGACGGACTCCCTTTCCGACGGGGAATCAGGCTGCTGGAAACCGGCTGTGTGGAAAATGTTTTGCAAGTCGGTAAGTGGAGCATAAAGTGTATTTTTTCACATATAAAATGTTTCCGAGGAGTGTCTGAGTTCCTGTCGCTGCTGGACGATTGATGGAAGTTTTCCGCTATCGCAGAAAGTCCGCGAAGCGTCAACTTTGAACGCATTTCGGACCAGACGTGCTCCGCGCTGCGGTTCTGGCTCAGCAGACACAAAACGAGACGACTGCGGTCGAAGTTTTGAGCCAAGAGTCGGGGAGGAAATGAGACGAAGGCGCAGCTGCTGCTCGCTAGCTTAGCCGTTTAAAAATTAAAGGGTCTTCCTCCACGTCCTGGAGGCGAACCGGCTCGGTTCGTGGGGGTTCTGTACTCTTTTTCTGGGGGGTTTTCAGCGTTAAAAGGGGCTTGCGTTCCCAGCAGCGGAAGGTGTTGTTTTTTCGCCTCTCTTCCTCTTTGGGTGTCCTCGACCGGAGCTGTCCGGAGCCGTAACCCCGGCGATGAGGAGGAGGAAGAGGAGGAAGGCTGACAGACGCGGATACAAAAGCAACCGACGTAAGAGCGTCGGGGCTTTATTTTTCTTTTCTTTCCTTTTTTTTTATTGTTGTTTGTTTCGCAAATTACTTTTTTCTCAGCTCAACTTCGGTTGAGAGTGGCTTAGGATGGAAACAAAGGCGGTTATCGGGTCCCCCCCCCCCCCCTTATTATGATTAATCCAGGGTTAATCCCAGAAAAATAAATCCCCCGCCTCAGATTTTTTTTTAAATGTATTTTTATTTATTTATTTTTTCAATAATTTTTGCTTATTTGCTGGATGGACAAAGAGCGCTCCGTCGCCTGCACGCAACAAAAAAACCCCCCAAAAACAAGCAAACAACAAAACCCCGCCGCCACCATCACTGTTAGTCGCTTCTGATGGTATAATTAAAGTTAACCCAGTTGATGCGGCGTTACGTCCATATTTGCTAATCGGTGCGCTCGCCCGCAGCGCTCCGAGCCGCGCGCGCAGCACAAAGGCTTTCCAGTTGAAATGATCGATAAGCGTCTCGCATTTCCAGCGCGCGCGAGAGAGAGAGAGACAGAGAGAGAAAGAGAGAGAGAGAGGCTGCTTTCAAACAAAGGGCCATTCCGCAAAAAGCTTCAGCTCCTTCCTCTCCCTCCTCCACCTCTTCTTCATGCTCAGCAACAAACAAACCGAAACCCCAGACATCATCAGGGACATTGGTGGCATGAAACCGAGGGATAGTCAAAAGCAGCCTTTATATGGTTACCAGGAGGATTTTCTGTTAGCTCCCCCCTTCCTCTTCTTCTTCTTCTGCTGCTGCTGCTGCTCTGGCCATATGGTGAGAGAGCCGCTGGAGCTTTTCTGGGGGTTTCATGTTGCTCTGAGGTATCAGGAGGGAAGGGGGGGAGCAAAGCTTTAAACTGTACCCGCTGCCTTCCCAACACAAATGCTGGATCTGATTGCATCTCATAGATGCTCATTGATTTCAGCCCCTTAGAGGGGAGAGGAGGAGGGGCAGTAGGGGGACACGAAGCAGCGACTGAAGAATATGAACTTGAGGTTTGCTTTGGAATGTGGTCTGGCTTGATCTCGTTAGTTCTTGCAAGTTTGATCCTTTCCAGGGTTGTGCAAGAGTTTGGAGTGGAGGTTGCCCGTGGTTAATTGCTTTACATAACCACTTCCTGTGCCTGAAGCAGGTGAGGCGGCTTTGGGCGAATCCACACCAAAAAGCTCTGCATCAAAATTACATCCGCTCTTCAGATGGTTTTTGATCATTTGTGTCTGTCAGCAAATAACTAATAGCATGTTAGGGGTTTTGTTGTATTTTTTTCCCCAGTTGTTTAAAATGTTACCATTTCCCAAACCGCACAAAAAAAAAATAACCAAAAAAAAACTTAGATTATGTAACGAGTGACCTAGAGATATCCTATTTAGGTGTAGTGGCAGCCGCAAGTTAAGTACATGGAGGTACTTTCAGCTGAACGTGTTAGCATGTTAGCATTATGGAGTAATGCAGTTTCCCCTCTGCTGGCTGTTACTGCGGTCGTCTGTCAGCTGGCTGAAACGAGACTCGTTCAGACAGCAAAGTTTTCACTCGGTTTTTAGCCATTTTTTTTATGTTTTGCTTGTTACAATTACAGACGGTAACAGTGTTGATACTTAAGGAAAGCCATAGCTCGCTCTTTAAAAAAAAAAAAAAAACTGGAGCTGGTAAGCTACTGTTGTGCAGGCAGGAAGTGAAAACGGTGAGTAGATTTTGCAAAATAAGCAGTTAAATTTAACACTATAAACCTTATTTAAAATGTTGTTTCTGCTTAAGATGAAAATACCAATAACAGATGTGATATTTTATAGTTACTGTAATAGCTGTTAAATGGTTAAAACATGTTATCCAAATTAGTTCAGACGTAGAACTGTGAGAATCTTTTCAGTGTAGGTTTAGCAGTCGTATTGCGCAATGTTTGTTTTAGTTTATTTTGATCTGACTAAGCGGGCTGCGCACTCCACCAATTAACTGTGTTTTCATGGCTTTAGATCAAACTCCTGAAGGCGCTTCAGCCGAGAAAGCATGAGGTTCCATTTCACTGGAGGCAAATCTTGTTTTCAGGACGATACAGGCATCAGATCACCTGGCAGTCATTTGAATCGTTTTGGCGTTTGGTCATTTTGCACCCAGCTGTTTCGAGTATGAAAAGAAATGGCGGATATTTGGCATCCGTACGTACACGCTTTGACTGACAATCAATGTCATTTTCCATCCTCGACCTGACGTTCACTTCTGGAAAATATTCTGACTCCCAATAAGTGATATGTACCTGTTGGAGGAATGTCCGTTTGGTTCCGTTTGGGGTTTATTTGGAAGATTTCACACGTCAGCCGGTCAAAACAAGGACCAAAATGAATGGAAATACGTTGCAAATAGTAAATAAATTTGAAACGTCAAGATTCTTTCAAGGCCTTTCTCAATTGGCGATCAAGATGCCTACCTGTCCACTATGTCTGATGTTAATTCAAGTGCAGTCATGAAAAAAAAAGAAAAATATAGCGATAAGGTTGTAACAAGTGGATACAAAATTATTATTAATTGTTAGGCTTCGTATAGCTTTTAGGGTGCTTGGGAAATATTCTTTGCAGTGAAAGTGGATGGAAGATGACATACAAGAAAGAAAACCCACTGGAGAAAACGAATATTCATCCATTAAAGCTAACGGTTTGCTTCTTTATTGATGTAGACAATGAAACTAGAAGTCCAATATGTTTACGGAAGGTTTTGACTCGTCTTGATTTCCCACAGGGTTGTCTATCATGGGTTCACTTGGTTATTTTTTTGTTGCTCCTCACAGCTATCACAAGCAAAGCAGGAGCTCCAGTTCCCTGCAAACCCATGCTCATCTTTTGACTTGCTCCGGTTTCTCAGAACTGCGGAGCCTCCAGCCAGATTCTACAGTCTGTTTAGATCTTTTTTTTAGCAGGTTTTACAAAAAAAAAAACCCAACACAAATAAAAAACCAGATGTAGCACTTAAAACAAACTCCGGGTTAGCCGCTTGGTTGTCTCCAGCAGCTCGACTCTGTTGGCTTTTAAAATCGGCACCTTAGCCCGGATGAGTAATAATGAAATCAAAACGAGCCATATAAGTGCGTCTTTATCATCAAAGGCGTCTTTGTATGCGTCAGACCTACAGAAATGACTTGGCTGAGCATGTTTCTTATTGCTGCCCTCCGCCCTCGCTCGCATTCCGGGCAAAGGTCTCCATGCGTCGGCCTCTTTCAACCGCGATAGAGCCGGATCGGAGGAACGTAAGCCCGTCAACGACTCGTTGGCCCATGTGTTCTTAATAATCCACTCCTACCCCCAAGTCATAATTAGAATAATCAAAGCAAAGCGTGATTGTTTTTGTCACACACACACACATCCACAGTCCCCCTGCCGTCTCCTCCCCTTTACCAGAGCCCTGATAAAGTCCTCAGAGAGCAGGAGGAAGGGATATAACTGGCGTGAGGGTGGGGCCGGGGGGCTTCCTCAGCTTTGAGTCAAGCGTTAGGATTATTGGGTCATGCTTTGTTACCCAGCTGTAGAAAAACCCCTTGTTCACAGACAGCTAGGGGAGCAGCGGGGGCGAGCGCGTCGGGGGTCATCGGGTGTACGCGCTTGTCGCCGTCTCAGACGTTATTGCTGTTCCGGGTGTCTAGTGATGCTTTCTGAAACCTGGGTGACTCCGATATAGTGAGGCGCAGTGTCTGCATGCCGAACTTGCAGATTGCAAAAAGACGCCCACAAAACTGTCTCCAAACCTTAAAAGGTCAAGGTTGTTGTTCACTGTTGAACCCTCGTTAAAAAGAGGGACGTTTTGTTTCCTACGGTTTTGGGTTTTCGGTTTGATGAAGTGTTTGGAGAGCCGGCCTGTCTTGCCAGCATTCGCCGGGATGTAATGATATATCCTGGCAGGATGGCCGCGGCGTTCCTCGTTTGCAGAAAGTCTTCCAAACCTCTGGTGTTCATCTGCCCTTTTTTTTTTTCTTTTGTTTTTTTTTAGAGCATCTTGTGATTAGACCCGGACCGAAGGCAGAGAGCTCATCCTCGGTTGCCTCATCTCCCATCGTTCCTCCTCCCTGGAGTTTCCGCTCCTGAATCCGCTAACACTGTTTACTTTTCATCTCAGCTTTGCAAACTTTGTCACTTCTTACAAAATTTGTGTCTCTGCATTTATTTACTTTTTGTATCTGTTCATCTCTCGGAGGTTTGCTTCTCCTACTCGGTATCGCTAACCGCTCCAACTTAGATCAGACTGCGTCCTCGAGCATTTTTGCTATTAAGCCCCATTCATTTGTTTTTTAAGAGGTTTCCTCCGCGTTTGTACCTTCTGGTTCAGTTCGGCACAGTGGGTTTTTTTTTTAACAGGAGGAAGCTGGGAATAATCAGTCATGACTCTGAGGTCAAGCGGTTGCCGGCTGCAACTCGGGAGTGTTTCCACACTGTCGGGACGTTGGCTCATGCGCTTCTGGGTAACAGTGAGTAACTTCAGTTTAA